TGTAGGTCGAATTATATTTCCAGCTGACAATGACAAGTTGCACATTTCCAAATCAATGGTTTTAGAATTATTTTTTTTCATCAACAAAATAATTATAAAATAGAACAGTTGTTCAACATTGTTCAAAGTGCTTGGGCCATAAAAAACTTCTTATTAAAATATTTCATCCTCTTGAAAAGTTCTTAAATTTTGACATGGCTTATTTCCAATACCTGTGACCATCCACAACATTTTTAATGTGTTTTTATTAATAAGGACATTTTCTTGCCTATTTTCAAACTAATTTTGTACACACGTTAGATTTTTTTAAATTCAACTTGTCAAAAAATGTCTTTTTTTTTTCACTAAGTTGCTTTATGAATACGGCCCAGGTTCTTGTTCACAGTGTCAGCTTAAAACTGAAGGAACTGCAGCCAAAATCAGCTGATTCTGAGAAAAAAAAAGGAAAAAAAAAGGCAAAACTGTCTAGTCTGTCAATCTGTGAGAGTTTAGCTTTAGGACGAATGATTTCATAATATTAATTGATGAGTACTTAAAAACAAAACGTACAAAAATGTCCCAAGAAATGGTTATAAAATCAAATGAATTGCTTGTCATAGAAGATATTAATAAACATTTTTTTTCTACATTCTCAGTGGTGTTTGTATTGCAAATACTATTTCCTTAAGGTATAAAACTTTTTTGTTCTAAATGAGTAAGATCTGCTGTACATTTCCAATATCATGAACGCTTTAATTAAAGAAAACTACTAATAAGACATCTTCAGCCAAACATGCAATATTCATTTTATAACCATATTTTCGGACCATTTTTGTACATTTTGTTTTTATGTACTCATCAATTAATATTATGAAATCATTCGTACTAAAGCTACACCACGGTGCATATCTATATCGGTACCCTCTTTGCGAAATCTGCTCAAACGGTACCCTCTTTACACATGCACAGGTCATTCTCTGCTAAAAACAAACCAGCGATGGATAACAAACCAGTAAAATTTCAATGTAATAAGGAAAGGGTGTTTGACACGTACAAAAGATATATACCACGGAACACTAGAATGTTTTATTTATGTGCTGATATGTCATGTGCCCGTTTTTCATGTACTGCAACTTCATAATAAGCTACAAAAAATCGACATGTCTTGTCTCGCCCATCACCTCGACATACTTTTCGGGCTGCAATGAACCGTGGGCTTGATTATATATGCATCATACATATTTAATATGTTCATTTACATATCATCTTCGGACAAATGGCAGTGTATTGTCAAAAATAAATGTAAAATTCATAAAAACACCCTACTTTCGGTTTTGCAGCGTACCCTCATGGCACAACATATGCTTATATTTGCGTTAATCGTTAATAGGTATGTCATATTTCTTACTTTTATGTAAATATTACATACTTAACGATTAACGCAAATAAAAGCATATGTCGTGCCTCGTGGGTACGTATGTGTTAAAAAATGAGAGGGTACCTGTGATATAAAAATTCAAATGAAGAGAGGTAGCCCGTGCCGCTGCAAAAGAAAAAAAAAGGCAAAACTGTCTTAAGTCTGACAGACTCGACAGTTTTGACATTTTTTTTTCTCAGAATCAGCTGATTTTGGCAGAAGTTCCTTCAGTTTTAAGCTGACACTGTGAACAAGAACCTGAGCCGTATTCATAAAGCAACTTAGTGAAAAAAAGACATTTTTTTGACAAGTTAAATTTAAAAAATCTAACGTGTGTACAAAATTAGTTTGAAAATAGGCAAGAAAATGTCCTAATTAATAAAAACTTTTTAAGAGGATGAAATGTTTTAATAAGAAGTTTTTTATGGCCCAAGCACTTTGGACAATGTTGAACAACTGTTCTATTTTATAATTATTTTGTTGATGAAAAAAAAAATTCTAAACCATTGATTTGGAAATGTGCAACTTGTCATTGTCAGCTGGAAATATAATTTGACCTACAGAGTTTCATTAATAAATATAAATATTGGTTAAATCGTTTTGTATATTTTCTCCATGAGCACACAGCAGAAAGCATAATGTGCATGTAAGAAAGCAACATGTAAAAGTCAGAATGCAAGATGTATATGTCAGAATGCATAATGTACAAGTTAGAAAGCACGATGTACAAGTTAGAAAGCACGATGTAACGTAAGAAAGCAAGATGTAATTTTGGCATAAATCACCCTCCATACTAAATAAACAAAAAGGAGATCATATTGTTCATTTCAAGTACTGAATTCAATACAACATGTATTTTATATTGTAACAAATGGGAACGGAGAATGAGAAGTATTAGTTATCTGAAAATACTCATTGTTTTGAAAAATATCTAGATGTACTTCCTTTTGACATAGGCAACTATTTATGTAAATTTAGAACAATGAATCACCTATTACCAATCGAAAAAGGCAGACATTTGGCAATTGATCATAATAATAGGGTCTGTTCCTTATGTCCGTATCAAGCTATTGGTGATGAATTTCACTACTTATTTGAATGTTCGTACTTTAATGACATAAGACGTAAATCTCTTCTTCCCAGGTTTGACATTCATCCCAATATTTTTAAACTTGACACATTAATGAATAGTTGTGATAAAAATATTCTGCTAAAATTATCTTTATTTTGTAAAAACATTATGTTATCAAACTAAACAAGTTTTTGAAGCTTAATATGTTTATAGTATTTGCTTTTGTGCAAATTGATTTTTTTCAAATGAGCTAAATTGTAGAGTATTTGTTAAAATTTGCGAACGGTGTTGATATTTACCACTTACTCAGGTCCAAACTCCGTCTTTTATATAAAACAAAGACTTCCTTCTACTTGTATTTGAGTGGTCATCCATCAACTCGAGCGAGCTGCTTTTAGCAATTTTGCGAAAAACGACCTTGACTTTTATACAGAGTTTAGTACGGTTGGGTACGGGGTGTAAATGGAAAACTGTTAGCGAGTGTACGGTGTGTAGTCTTCAAAAATGCATGTTATGTGGTACTTTAAGTTTCTTCTATTTGGCCTTTTTCAACTGGGGTGGTTCCAGTATTCCTACTTGAATACTGTACAATCACCCTTAGGATATGTTGCCTGCTTTTTTTTAAATTTGTATTTTGACGTCTTGTCTGTAATATTTAGGCTTCATTACCTCAGATCCCCTTTCAAAATTCCATTTTATTTAGTTCCGCCCATTGTTTTTCGCTTATAGGGCACACTCATTCCTTTACTTGTGGACCATACGCCGCTTTTCATGGAATGGCTCTACTGTGTCACATTGAAGGTTCCATGATAATCGCCGTATGAACACATCTGCAAATGTCTCTAAATACAAAATTTCACCATTTTTGTGTTCAAATGTTGAATTCTGCTTAAGCCGGTGCTAAGGGGCGTGGACGGTAACTTGGACTTTCCAGTACCGTCCATGAACAGGCTCAATCAAACCGAGCCTGCAACATTTTCAATTTTGTCGTGTTGGGCTGTCTTTAGGGATTCTGTATTCTCTATTTTAGTACCAGAGCATACACGTACGCTGAACAAGATCTTTAAAAAGAAGCATGGGAGAGGTCTTTTTGCAGCTGCGGAAGATTTGTTTATTTCGAAAGTATTTGGAGATATTTTTGCATAAAAGGCACAATTAATGTATAAATTACAGTTATTTAACAAATTAGAATTTATTACATAATTATTATATACATGTATATTGAATATAGTATCATAATGAAAGTTTGTTTTAAACTAAACTTCGTTTTTAAATGTTTTGAAAGATTATATGCCGGAGAAATGGACATTTTCTTGGTTCATCAGGGATACCTTTTCTACAAAGGGAACACTAGATATATACTAAAAGTAGTATCAAAATAAAAGTTTCTCGTTCAATTCTTTTTTAAATTTTTCAGTTAATGTTTTGGTTAGTATACGGAAACATTTCCTCTGCAACAGAGATTTTGCAAAACAGGCATAAAGTATGTTAATCAAACAATTTTAAGACCCAGATTTACATAAAAAAATATTTATATTATTTGCACAAAACAGAACCTTCGTAAATTTATATGATAATTTGGTATAAAAAGATTTTTCGTTATTTTATAGCGTCAGTCTACGAACTTTCCGATCATATCTTGTTTATATTTTATTACGTTTTAATGACATGCCATGTGCATTGACGTGTACGGTTCGTATGTTATTTGAACTTTTGTTCAAAATGAATAAATTACAAGCGAGATAAATCAAATTTAGGACTTATTCTTACCCTAACCTGCTTAAACCAATAAGATAAAGCTTGTGCTGTCTGTTACCAGAATAGAGCCTGCATGGTCTGTCTGCACTTCCGTGGACTCTGATCAAGCTCTATATGTTAACAATCTTGATATCCCACAATGAAAATATTCTTTTCCGAAGCTGGACAAGTTTATTGTAGAATTCAGCAGTGTCACGTAGTCTATATCACGTGACTGTTTTGGATGTGCGTGGGGCAGAAAACCAAGACAGACGGTCCAGGTTTTATATTCTGCGAATTCTTTTTGAATACTTTTTAAATACTTTATTATCATTATTTATGGGATAAAGTGAACAATCCTCTCATTCTAATGAGGAACCCATACCAAGTAGGGTCTTTCAAATACAGTTCTATTTAAAGACCCTTGTACAAAGCAAATAATGTCTTTTGGAGAAAAAAAATCATTATTTTTGTCGTAAAATGAAACCGCATGAAAATCTTATTGTTCTTGTAAAACGCGCAGTTTCACTTACGTTAAGAAAAAGTATTCCCCTAAAACATTATATATATGTGTTACTAACTAGAATAAGAAGGTTCTACACTTAATCCGTTTAAAAATAATGAAATAATTGAAATGTTATGGAAGGAAATAAAATCTGGACCGTCTATTGTATCTGCACAGATCATAAAAGGTCACGTAATATAGGCACCGTTAGGTTAAGCACTAGGCTTGGTCAGACTATATAAGAAGTAAATTTGTGTTAAATGTTGGAAGAAGGAAAAATAACATGTTCGTTCAACAATCGTATATTCACTTTATTAATTTATCTACAAAAACAAATACTAGAAAATAAATTATCCTTTCAAATTATATGTAGATGAAATTATTCACGAAGAAATAAACATATAAACTCATGAAAACTGTCATTCAAAAAGATAATTGCGCTTCAAGGTTTAACAAATTGCATAAGTCCTACATGCAGCATCAAATAAGATTAAAACACATTGTTTTCTGTGTAATCTTTTAGAACTCTTAATTGTACAAACAGAATAATGATTACTAGATTAATTTCGGAAAATATACTATTTCTTAATCTGGTACAATCAAGCGTCCTAATGAAATGTTTCTTATGTTAATGGAGAAGAATCTTTGTCTGCAAATCTGTTATCTGTTTTATTGGTGTTAAATAACGTCTGAAAACAAATAAAACAAGAATAAACACAAGTCATGTATGACGTTGAGAAAAACAATTATTATATAATTAACCACTGAGTTGAGAAATAAATCATGATCGTATTTGAAAAAAAGACATACAATTTATAACTCCACAATCACAATTAACAGGGGTTTGACTTTCATAAAACAAGTTATCAAGTAACAGTTATTGGCTACTGAAAATGAGCGGCAGTGCCAAACCTATATAACTTCTATATATAGGCATATGTACCCTCGTTCCTCATGGCTGCGTTTCATAGAAATTGTTAAAAGTTAAACAAGTTAAAAGAAATGCATTCGCTTTAAACCACATTGTGTTGATATCCGTCTGCATTTCTGTTTAGAAATTTAAGTAGTCACAAAATAGGAGTCACAAGTTAGAACCGTTTCTTTGAAACACAAAGAATTTGTCTAAGTTTTGGTTTTATGACTGGTTTCAGACTAAAGACTTTCTATGAAACGCAACCCTGGTTACAATGTATATGTAATAAGGCCATGTGAAGCAACATAAATCAACAGAATTTATGAGGAATCAAGTTTGATCTATTCAGCAACCTATGGACTATTATAAATTTATATTTTGTTGATATAATAAACTTTAAAAAAGTTTCTAAATTCAAAATTTCGTGATTTTTATGTTTAAATTTTGAATACTGACAAAACCGGTGCTGGGGGGGGGGTAACTTGCAATTCACAACAGGCTCTTGCCGAAGTTACATTTTTTTCTTTAGGGATTCCGTTTATCTCTATTTTATAATCAAAACAGCGTAGGAGTAATAAATCACTATTCTGAATATAATATGCACAGTGGCCATGAAATGACTGTACACTGTATTAAGATAAAACGATAAGAAAAATATCAAAGTCGCTTCCTCTTTACTATTTGCTAAACATGTTACTTCATGTACTGTGTAAACTTACGAATTATATTGTCACTATGCCTGCAGCAACAATAATAAATGCAGCAGCAACTAAACAAAAACGAAAAGACTCCACCAACTCCTCCCCCTATGTAGATACCCGCATGCCTGCAGTTAAAGATAGAAAATTGTGTATTTATTCGGAACTCTCACATTAACCTTAAACATTCAAAGCATTAATACAATGTTCAAGAATATACAATAAAGTTTTGAAGAATAAGTCAAAGTGTCACTGCATAGAAAAGCTTTTTACTGGTTTACTTTGAGGAATGGTTCAGTGATTCTTTGATATATATTCTAAATAATTATTGCTGGACTGTTTGCTTTATTCGGATACGTTAAGCTATTTGAAAAAAAGTTGTTTCTTTTACAGCATTTACTTCCATATCAGTGTAAAACATGACTTTATTGAACCATAGGGTCTCTGTGGCTTAGTAGTTAAGGTCTTTGGCTGTTGCTCACTCACTCATCGCCGCTGTAGGTTCGATCACCAAGAGAGCTATCGAAATCGCTTACAAAAAGCCAGCGGTTGGTATCAGGTGCCAAGGTGTGCCTAAAATAATGCATTGCAGAGCACCTGATATTGTCTTCCGACAGGAAAGTGAAATTTGAGAAGTCGTCATATGATCGTAACAATGTTTGTTTGACCTCACACAAATAGACATGAAATGTTTTTGTGTGTGTTTTTTTTTTTTAAAATACTTACGATTCCGAGTCAGAGGGTGCGTCACAACAATCTCTGTTGTCGTCATAATAATTACCACAGCAACCATATTCACAATACTTGGTGTAGGTTGACGATGAGTAGTCATTATCTATCGTACAGGTACTCCCTCCATACACTTCGTACACTTAAATATCATAGCAAAATATCAATTTGTATAATGTTATTCTTATCTTATTTTACGATTGTTCTAAATATAAACATCCGATTGTCCGAAATGTATGCATAAAAGGCAAGCCAAAATGCATCAAAAAAGCAAAGTTTTAAAAAGGAATCGTTTTTGTTTTGTCAGGTGCCACTTATTTAAAAAAATAGATAAAACACCGTCCTCGTATCTTTCAAGACAAAGTGGTGAATATCTTGAAGGGTAGAACTAATCTTTTTATATGTTTCAACAAGTTCGTACTTGCTAAAACACGCGTTTCTATGCAAATACGAGGTAATGAATTTAATGTTAAAATTTGTTGAACCTTAACTGTTTTTTCAAAACAAAATCACAATTATGCAACAGGAAGGATCAACTAAGGCACTGTTACAAATCACTGAAAATGTTTATGCTAGTAATGTATAGCAAAACTAGTATTGAGTATCAATATCTTATTTGGCCGTTTTATAGACTTATTTCTACAGAAGGATTTTTGTAGGAGGTGTTTGCAAGGTGTTGATAATCAGTCCGGACACTATTTCATTTTGATTTAACATTTATTGAATGATAAATCAATCTATCCGAAGTTACATCTCACTTTTTTTTCTTTCTTATCTGTTCATTTTATGTATTACCAGGGGTATATTAAAAAGAACGGAATGTTTATTTTTTAATCTCAAATGCTTTAAAGGGTTCTCTTTTGTTCTGTGTAGAAGATAATTTAGATCAAATCAAAGAAACTAATATTCTCTACGTGAATAAGACATTACAAGTGTTACAACAACGCAGGAATTTGCAATGTAATATTTGTCGATTTCAACGCAATAACATTATCAGTATCATTTCGTTTCATTAATTAAAGTTCAGCTTAGGAGATAAAATGTGTGTTTTATCAATTTTATCTTCTCTTCTGTCTTTCTTCTTCTAACTGATATTTTTTATTAATCCTATGCCTGTTGTTTGTATATTTTCAAAAAATTAAATGGAAAATTCAGCATGGTTATCATGATCACATACTATGTATGTCAAATTCATTATAAATCATTTGGCTTTAATCATCTTAACACGATTTTACATATTCAAATATCGGTGCATTATCATGAACATACAGTATATGCTTTTTATGTCACAAACACAAAATAATTAAAGTTTGTGACGAAAATTAATGAATATGGAAACCCTGGCGGCTGAATTGAAAATGTTCAAAGCTCATTTTGATAAAGCATGTCCATAAAAGATAGGGTTTTATGCAAGCTTATGGCCACGGTTTGCAAGAATTAAAGAAAATATGTATAACAATATTTGATGAAATAAAAGCCGAGTAAGCGTTTTTCAACCATTTGTTGATAATTTCATCATCCTTTTCCAGAATTTTGATATAGATGTACAGACGACAGTGATGATAAAATCTTCAATTCCATACCAACAGAACCTTCCATGGTCCATACAAATTAAAGTGGTGTGTGCCATGGACAAAGAACAATTGGAGAAACAAAATAAAATAGAACACTTTGAAAGAGTATTTAAGGTCATGAACCCTGTGTTTCAGAGTCTACTACCAGAAGGCAAAACACATATAATGATTTTTTTCCTCAGTGGGCCATTCATTACCCGATTGAATAAATATCACTCTTACTTATCAAAATTAACATAATTATCCTGATAATTCCAAAGAAAATAAAACAATGTTTAAAGCTGACTCATATATATCTTTTAATCAAAATTAATATATCGGAAGAAGAAGAAAATTAAATTATATATTCAAATATAATAATATAAGTTTTTACAAATTTACAATAATTTTCTTTTTACTTTCCGGTTGAAGTAAATTGATTGGTTATTTAATGAGTTAATTGATTTAAACCGGAGGGGAAAATGAAAGTGAATTTGTAAAACCTGTAATATTAGTTTTTTTTTTTTGTTTTTTTTTATTTGCCTTTTTTTAAATAGTATGACAATCAGTATTTCGGACAATGCATATAACTATAGCAGCAAAATCCCACATAAAAGCATTTTACTAGGAAATCCTATCACTAGGGTTTTATTTTCTGCAGTATTTAGAATTATAGAAAATTGTATCAATGAAAAAGTAAAAAAGGTTACCTGAAATCCAAAAAAGGAAAAGCAGTCCAATGAGTAGACGTGTCATGATAACAGCCGCGCTCGCAGGGTTTTACAAGCATTGGTGCGTTTTATATATACGCATACAAAAGATAATCTTAGCCTTAGACACTCACCTGATACGCCTTAAAGTTATTTCAGTTACTTTAAATGTGAAATGCAAATGAAGGTATAGTGCTTTCACATATGACGTGATTTTTATACCACTAGAAACAGACAAATACCCACCATCCTCTTCCCCAAGCTGGGTCAAGTGAAAAAGCGTGATTTTTTTTTATTTTTAACAAATCAATGGTTGCTATGCACAGAGGATTACAAGAAAAACATACGTGACATTGACCTTTGAGCTAGATAACACATTCTTGTGCACGACATGTCATTATGTTCCGCTAAGTCATTTCAAATCCACCCCGGAAAGAACATAATTTTTATCGGGCATGACCATCAATGCACGTTTATGAAAGTTCATTTCATGACATTTAACGCACAAGTGTGATTTCACTCTCCTTTCGCCGCCATTGTGTCCACTTCCGGTTTTGGTTTGGTGCCTTCTAGGTGCCCTACTTGAATGTGTCGTGGGCTGCGTCCTGTGAACATTGCCTTTGCCTTGTTGATCCTTATTCTTGTTTTTTTGTCATTTAAAAAATAGCTCGAGACCTAATTTTTGTGCGCAACACGTTGTGATTATGTCCAAAACATTAATGGATTGTTAACAGGACACCAACATCAACTGTATTGACCATTTAATCATTTCTTTTACATGTTATATTTTCTTCGATTGATATATCTTTTTTTTTAATTTAGAAGGCTGCATTGTAAATAAGTGTTACAATCTGTATATGTCTTAATGTGCTACCTTCTTTAATAAAGAAATTTTTTTTATTATATTGCAATTCGATGAAAAGTTTCAATCATCACTTTCAACGTACATGACTTGTGTGACTTTAACCTTTGACTAAAGACCGTATTCTTGTGTGTGATTCGACGTCATTATATCTGACACAGAAATGCATAGTTATTTCAAAGTCCATTCAGGAATGACAGAATTGTTGACCGGACATTAACATCAATGAAAATTTATGAAAAGAAATTTAGTCAAGAGTGACCTTGACATTCGAGCTACAGACATTGCTCTTGTGCGCGACTCATTTTCTCAAATATGCTTCACATTTATGCAAAATTATTTCAAAATGCATCCATAAATGAATCGGACACAAAGTATTGACGGATGGAGTGCATAAAAAGAAAAAAAAGTATAGCAATGATTTCATCTATTTTAGTTTTTTTGTGGTTGGAGTGCGTTACCAGTTTCATTTCAATGATTTTGAAAATAAAATTCATTGGTAATGAAGTTCTACCGTTTTAAGTACATTAGCATAATGTACATACCAGCCAAATTTATCATTTTTTTTTTTGTAAATGCACAAAAGAAACATAGCAAGCAAAACTATTAATTTTCAACCCTACACAAGCATGTATCCAGGTGAGCTAACTACCGCCATTCGCAAGTATATGTTCATACATGATAGGAACGCAGGTTCTATTTTACGTTCTTCTTTATATTTAAATCCACGAAACATACATTTTGTGTAAGAAATGGACCTTCCTTAGTGGAATACCAATAACATTTGCTGATAAATTTTCACAAGTTATATATTGTTTACATGAACTCACTTTTTAGTTGTTGAGTTGAATTCAACAATTTTTATAATCTTTATTATCTTGATATTTAAAGATTTTATTAGTAATAAAAGCAATTTATATGCTTTGATGCTAGGATGGGCAAAAATTCAGACGTGTTTGTTTCATTTATTTATGATAATTAATTTATGTTAAAGTACAAGTTAGGTATACATGTGTAGCTATCAACCCTGAAAAATTGATAATAACAGTCACTCTGACAGTGTAGTTTTTAAAAATTCGGATTTTTTACGCCTTTGCTTCCTTTAATATAGATTAACAAAGAATGTTGACACAGATGTGTGAGCCCAACGCTGAGCTATAAACGAGTTTGTTAACTGAGTATACCAGTTTTTTTTTTCGGGTAAATTTATGTCCTAATATAACTTTGAAGCAATTTCTTGTTTTCAATGGTGGTGCAGGTTGTTTCAGATCATTTAAGTTCTATTTTTATAGAACCTTTCCTGTACTTATGTTCTTATTGAGATTATTAATTCCTATGAATATCTTCATGCTTTGTGCATATTAGCTTTTTCTTTGCTTGCTTGTTTATTTTTATGCTTCAGAGAATGTGAAAACTATTTTATAATCATGCAAAAAAACTACTTTATCAATCATATGATATAATTTTAATATTTTCTAAATTACAGTCTTAATAACTGATGTTTTTATAACCTAAAGGTCCAGTATGTCTCCGAAATGATTTCTCGAAAGTTTTTTATTTTGGTGTACTTTTATAGTTTCCAAAACAAAAATGGGCAAATACCTGAATAATTTTTTTTCTTCTGTCTCCTTTTGGGTAATTTATACAGTTATAGTGATTTAGTATTTTGTAAGGAAGTGTAAATACTTATTTGTTTTAATGTTGCATGTAGCGCTGCTTTCTTTAAGCAACTAGCATCAAGCATGCTCTAAACCAGTATTTAAACGTTATAAAATTGTTGCGTGTCTTTTTAATGAAGTAAATATTTATTCATTTCAGCTAATGTGCATTTAACACGATTAAAAAGTATTTTTAATTAATGCTTTATTGACATCATATTGTGAATATTCTGATCTGAGAACATTATAAAATGTATTAAGATTGTTCATAAAGTTAGAAATGATTTTTTAGTCAGTTTAGATATGTTTTAAACAAACAATTTAGGAGAGTTAAGGGCCCTTTAGCGATAACAAGGTTTTGTTTAATATTTGCTTAATAGGATGAACGGTACCATGAATTGTATGTGATTTAATACCGAACTCGAACAATGTACATTTATTATGCAAACGTAATTTTAATTCTCTGTATCTTTAACATTATATTACAGTTATACATCTATGAATTTGAACAATGCATTTACACCATTCAAACATTTATTATATAAAAACACTACATTTTCTGATGGACTAATTTTAAGCATATACCACTTGTTCCTCTTTTCTTGTTATTTGTTAATGGTTATCTGCTTTAAGGGTTTTAAGTATTTTAAACAAACAATTCATGAGAGTTAATGGCCCTTTGGCGATAACATTGTTTTGTTTAATATTTGCTTAATAGGATGAATGGTACTAAAACAAGTTTTCACATATCTTTTACATATTAACATTTTTGGTGACCCTTCCCCACACACGCGCAATCTATTCGAACTGATGACAATGTAAATATATGTATCAATTTAAGTCAATACAACAGATTAAATAATAAAAAGTCCTTTCCCACTTCATAGGCTCTAAACTATTTATAGCATTGCAATGATAGATTAGGAAGTGGAGATACTTATTAATTGCATTATGTATATTTAAGTGTATGGGTTGTTGTTTTGCAACTAAACAAAGCAATCAAATTAATGTAATAATCTTTAAAAAAATGAAACTGAAAACGTAACGAAACAAACATTCAAATTGATGTAACAATCACAAAAAATTAAAATCTATCTAATGAAATAGTAAAAAAGTAGATAACCAGAAAAAATGGTATACATGTACTGTATGCTTAATATTTGACAATCAGAATATAAAGTGTTTTATGTAAGAAATGTTTGATTGGTTTAAATGCATTGTTCATGTTTGAATGGTTTAAATGCATTGTTCAAATTCATCTATGTAATAATGTAATATAATTTTAAAGATATAGATAATTAAAATTACGATTGCATAATAATTGTACAATGTTCCATTTCGGTTACAAATCATATAAAATGTATGGTACACATAAAATTAAAATATCGATTCTCAACTCCATGGAATCTTTAAAGCTTAACCCTTATTGTGGAAATTTTTATGGTGCTAAGAATTGGATTGAACATCAATACGTACCGCAATGTCAAAAGTACAGCATGTTTATTCTGTGTTACTGGTATTGTAACTTTCGACTGTATTTAAATAGTAATATTTAATAATACTTCAACTTTTCTTTTGTCAAATCCACGTGGATTAGAACCCAGTCAGTGGCAAGCCGTTGTTTCTTTCAGCAAGAAACTTAACATTCATTGCTTAGTACTGATTGTTTCCAGGAACGGATTCGAGAGTGTTAAAATAAGCTTATAGCTTCCAAAACAATCCAACTAAATTTAATACGTATAACTAAATATGTCGCTTTCCCTTTCCAAAATAAACAGATTATTTTGGTTTCTAACTATTATTTATTTCACAACTTTGAATGTCTTTTTTCATATATAGCATGAAAGCACTGTTTAAAAGGTTGGTCTTGTCTATGAATATAAAACTGTCTTATCCCTTTTTGATATCAAGTAAAGGATTACCCTTTTTTACTGATCTTAGATTTACGAAATCAAATGTTTGCCAAAGTCGTGGTCTAAGGGTGTCGTTATACCTGTATTCAACAAGCAATTATCATAGTATTGCAGTCCAACCGGTTAGAACCCCAAAAACACTCTGATGGGCCATTGGCAATTCAATTATGCCATTGAATGAATGAATGACATGAATAAACTTAAATCTTTTGACTATATCATAGTAAAATAATGTGTAAATTTCCCTGCCTAGTAAAGAAATTACGTTAATACAAAAGATAATCAAAGGGTCCAATTTTCTCAGCATGAATAAGTATAACTAATGTTTCAACTTTTCTCTATTTTTAGTAAATTTGTTGGAAAAAATCTTTAAAAATGATGTCAGGAAACAGTTTTTATGAACAGACAGACAGACTGAAGGAGACTATAGTAAAGTTTATTTTTTAAACATCCCTGTTACCAAAATATAAATATTTTTTAAGCGAAATTCTTAAAGAGAAAAGCGTAAAAACTAGAATCAGAAATCTTGAAATTCAGTTTATTTGTTGCCAAAGCAACCAGAATTTTCAACGTAGGAAGAAAAGAAAAAGATTTGCATAATCTACAGACTGTCATCTACTCATATTTCAAGTTTAATAAAAAAATATTTTCAGTACATTTTGTGTTTTCACTGGAT